ACTCCATCTCAAAAAAAAATTTAAAAAGAAAGAAAATAATAATGCCAAACTGTCTTCCAAAGTGTTTATACTCTTGCTTTTCCACCACCAATGAATGATCGAGTTCCTATTGATTAACATTCTCACCAGCATTTGGTATAGTCAGCATTTTGGATTTCAGATATTTTAATAGCTATGTATTGATGTATTCTTATATTAATTTGCAATTCCCTAATGCCACATGATGTTGATGATCTTTGCATAACCTTATTTGCTGTTTGCATATCTTCATTCATGAGGTATTCAGATCCTTTTTACATTTAAAAATTGGGTTATTGTTTTCTATTGTTCAGTTTTATGTGTTCTTTGTGTATATATACAGATGTGTGTGTATATGTGTATATAATCTATATATAATCTGTGTATATATATAGATTATATATAATCTGTGTATATAGATATATCTATATATAGATTTTTGAGGCAGAGCCTCACACTGTTGCGCAGGCTGTAGTGTAATGATGCGATCTTGGCTCAACACAACCTCCACCTCCCGGGTTCAAGTGATTCTCCTGCCTCAGCCTCCCAAGTAGCTTTTGGTCCCAGGTGGGGCTAAATCCAAGTGGCTGGGATTACAGGCATGCACCACCATTCCTAGGTAATTTTTGTATTTTTAGTAGAGACGAGGTTTCATTATGTTGGCCAGGCTGGTCTCAAACTCCTGACCTTGTGATTCACCCACCTTGGCCTCCCAAAATTCTGGGATTACAGGCATGAGTCACCGCACCCAGCCTCTTTGTATATTTTTTTATGTTCATCGGATATGTTTACAAATAATTTCTCCCAGTCTGTGAGTTTTCATTGTCTTAACACTATCTTTGACACCATGAATGGTTTTTCTTTTAATGACATCTAATGCAGATTTTTATTTCATGAATCATGCTTTTGGTGTGGAGTTGGATCATTTGCCAATCCCAGTCAGCTAGCCTAGATTTTTTTCTATGCCATCTTCTAGTTTTATAGTTTTACACTTCACATTTAGATTACCCATTATGAATGTATTTTATGTAAGTGCATTTTAAAAATATACATCTTGGGAATCCCCGAAGTCTTGATTCATAGATTTTAGAGTTGATGTTGAAATCATCAGTGCTAAATTCTGTAAGTCCAAAATGTCATGTAAGTGTCATCTATACAAGGCCAGTGTGATGGCTCATGCCTGCAGTCCTAGGATTTGGGGAGGTCAAGGTGGATGGACTGCTAGAGCCCAGGAGTTCAAGACCAGCCTGGGCAATGCAGTGAATCCTGACTCCACAAAACAAATATGAAAAAAAACAAACAAACAGAAGAAAAGAAAATTAGCTGAGCATGGTGGCATGCACTTGTAGTCCCAGCTACTTGGGAGGCTGAGGTGGGAGAATCATTTGAGCCCAGAAAGTTGAGGCTACAGTGAGCCATGATCATGCCACTGCACTGTAGTCTGGATGACAGAGTCACACCATGTCTCCAAAAACAAACCAAAACATAAGAAAGACATGGGTGTGCCTGGAGGCATAGTTCCCCCTGAGGAAAATGCATCTCTAGCTATAAACAGCTGTAAGTGAAATCAGACAAGTTATGTGTTTCAAAAGTACAGTGGTGAGACACAGGATAAACATTCTGATTCAGAAAGGGAGAAATAGAAAAGAAGGAAGATTCCAAGCAAGTCTAAAATCTAACAAGGTTAAATCCATTAGATCTTAAAGCTATAGAATAAGCCTTGTTGACTCAGTGTCCATCTTCCAGGTTCAATGGCTTGCAGTCCCACCTCAAGGACTCACTGGGGTAGGGGTACCACCTCTATGATTTTGCTGGGAGTCCTTCCCCTACAACTCTGCTAGGAAGGTCATGCCCCCAAGGTTCTGGGTGGCCTACTTTTTAAGCTCTGGCCATGGGCTGTTTTGCCTCTTGAAACCAAAGTAGTGGCCCCACACTTTGAAACCAAGGAAACAGGCCTGATGATCTCTGAAGTGTCATCAGAATCATTCTTCCCCTTTTGGGGGGAGAATGGTGCAGGTTTGCAGCTGAATAGCTCTGTGGTACTGTCTCATATAATCAAAGAAATCCAACAGGGAGAAGTCAGAAAGAATATAGGGGCAAATAAAAATGGAAAGAATGGTGAAGTTTTATATTTTTGAGTATGAAACGGTAGTAAAAACCAAACAGTTAATACCACCAACCATAATTATATTATGGTTTGGAGTATGTGTGAAATGTCGTGACTTCATAACAGAGTTAAATGAAAAATGTTAATATGATAAAAAATATAGCTGTAATTGCAAATAAGGAAACCATAATAAAGATACATTTTATTCATTAATTTATCATTTATTAACAACTTGAAAAAGTAAAAGCTGGCCAGGCGTGGTGGCTCATGCCTGTAATCCCAGCATTTTGGGAGGCCAAGGTGGGTGGATCACGAGGTCAAGAGATCGAGACCATCCTGGTCAACATGGTGAAACCCTGTCTCTACTAAAAATACAAAAATCAGCTGGGTGTGGTGGCGCGTGCCTGTAATCCCAGCTACTCAGGAGGCTGAGGCAGGAGAATTGCCTGAACCCAGGAGGCAGAGGTTGCGGTGAGCTGAGATCGCGCCATTGCACTTCAGCCTGAGTAACAAGAGCGAAACTCCGTCCAAAAAAAAAAAAGAAAAAGAAAAAGTAAAAGCCAAAATACAAGGATATTTTGTTTTTCTCACTGCTTTTAATTTTAATGTCTACATACAAGGCTTAGATATTTAGTAGTTTTAATTTGTTTAAGGTGGAAAGAAAAAAACACACACAAAGAAGTATAGGACAAATTCTCCTGGAGAACTACACGCAAGAGAGGAACATTAGCACTGATGGTAACTCAAGATAAAAAGGTAGAATGGGATCCAAGAGTAAATTAGCTGTGTTGTCACATAAATAGTGTTTGGTTAGAAATAAAGCCAGTGGCCAGGCACAGTGGCTCACTCTCAGCATTTTGGGAGGCTGATGTGGGCAGATCAACTGAGGTTGGAAGTTTTAGACAAGGCTGACCAACATGGAGAAACCTCATCTCTACTAAAAATACAAAATTAGCCAGGCATGGTGGTAGGTGCCTGTAAATCCAGCTACTTGAGACGCTTAGGCAGGAGAATCATGTGAACCCAGAAGGTGAAGGTTGCAATGAGTCAAGGTCATGTCATTGCACTCCAGCCTGTCTCAAAAAGAGAAAACTGTCTCAAAAAGAAAAAAAAGAAAAGAAATAGAGCTAGTACTCTATTTGAAAGATATGAAATACCAAATATCCTAACAAAAAGGTTAACATACTCTTGTTCTTACTGTGTAGGACATGAAACAACAACCAATTACTTATCTTTTAAAACTACTTGAATAAGCAATACTTACGTAAAACATAGCTCAATGTATCAGATGAGAAAATGCCTTAGTACTGGTAATCATTCAGACCTTTATAGAGTACATAAATTCTGGGAAAGATACCAGTTCAAAAATTGAAATGTAATGAATGATGGTGACATAAATTCATCTGAACAAGACAGTTAAATTTTCTTATGGAAATCTAATAACCAGTGGCTCGTGATCTCATTGACTGCATAACCAAGTCAGCTGTCCTAAGAGAGAGATGATTTTGTAGTTAAATGAGATTAGTTAAACCAAAGAAGATCTGCTGATTGTTGAAATGTCCAAACCTAGTAAGGCAACTGAGAGGGAATAAAAAGAAAAATAATGATAAAAGATTAAAACACAATTGAAGCCATGTTAATATATAGTTGTAAATCCTCTTAATGTAAGTTCAGTGGTCATTTTTCCTCCCCTTTTAAAGGTGTTTGACATATTTAAGAGTGATAATTTAATAGAATGTTATATTTTCTTCTTTTTTTTTTTTTGAGACTGGGTTTCACCATGTTGGCCAGGTTGGTCTCGAACTCCCAACCTCAGGTGACCCACCCGCCTCGGCCTCCCGAAGTGCTGGGATTACAGGCGTGAGCCACCACGCCCGGCCCTAGAATGATAAGTTTTAAGAGACTTATTTGGTGAGTACTTTCATCAAATATTTACAAAAGTTCTCTTCATTTGGATCTTGGTTGTTACAGCCTGCAAGTAAAAAGACCCCTTAAAGGAACTGGTTATATTCCAATATAACACACACACACATACACACACACACACACACACACACACACACACATATATGGCATACAACATGCACACACTATATACATACACATATTGTGTGTGTGTGTGTGTGTGTGTGTGTGTGTGTGTTATAGTGGATTACAACCAGTTCATATATATATATTATATTATATTATATTATATTATATTATATTATATATTTTTGGTTTTTTCTGAGATGGATCTCGCTCTCTTGCCAGGCTGGAGTGCAGTGGTGTGATCTCAGCTCATTGCAATCTATGCCTCCTGGGTTCAAGTGATTCTCCTGCCTCAGTCTCCCCAGTAGCTGGGATTACATGCCCAGTAGGCATGTGCCACCATGCCTAGCTATTTTTTTTTAATTATTTTTTTATTTTTTTTAGTAGAGACAGGGTTTTACCATGTTGGCCAGGAAAGTCTCAATCTCAAACTGGTGATCCACCTGCCTTGGCCTCCCAAAGTGCTGGGATTACAGGTGTGAGCCACCATGCCTGGCCGTATGTGTGGTTTTTTTAAAGAGGAATATTTTATATCAAAATAAAGTAGAAATTTAAAGAGAAGGGAACCATTTGATGAAAATGGAAAGATCACATTTTTATCATTAAAAAAAAAGCACATTACACAAAATGAAGAGCTATAAGAGTGTAAAAATATGTTGTTTCTGACTGGGAGTTCTAACTTTCTGGAGGAAAATAAATAAGTACAGATGTCACAAGCAAATAATTACAATCTAAGAAAAATATTGAAATAATACTACAATTACAAAACAAGACAAAAGAGCAAAAATATAAACACCAAAACGTGTAAACAAAACATGCCTGGATGAGAAACCCCTGAAAAAAACTTTTTAATATAAAAGAGAAATATTTGGCAATATCTAACAAAGCGATAAGTATATATCAGCTATGACTAAGCAATTCTACTTCTACATACAGAATGGCCACAAAGTCTAAAATAGACTCTAAAAGAGGGAGATACTGAATTGCGTTGGTTACCTATTAAATCTATCCATAGTTTTTTCCTGTGAAAACCAGAAATAAAAAAAACTTTATACATTCATTTCAGTCAAATGCTTTCTCACCAGTATAAATTTTTGGACAGCAAGTAAGATGTCCAACCACACTAAAGGAATTCCCACATTCCTTACATTCATAGGGTTTATCAGCTGTATGAATGCGCTGATGTTTGGTAAAGGATGAACTATGTCTGAAAGCCTTCCCACATGCCTTGCATTCATAGGGTTTCTCTCCAGTATGAATTCTCTGATGTTCTGTAAGGGCTGAACTATGTCTAAAGGCCTTCCCACATACCTTACATTCATAAGGTTTCTCACCACTGTGAATTCTTTGATGTTGAATAAGGGCTGACGTAAGTCTAAAGAACTTTCCACACTCCTTACATTCATAAGGTTTTTGACCACTGTGAATTCTCTGATGTCGAGTAAGTTCACTGCCTACTCCAAATGCTTTCTCACATTCATTACATTTATAGGGTTTTTCACCAGTATGAATCCTCTGATGTCTAGTCAGGGATGAACTATTTCTAAAGACCTTTCCACATGCTTTGCATTCATAAGGTTTCTTACCAGTGTGAATTCTCTGATGACGAGCAAGTTCTCTACAAACTCCAAAAGCCTTCCCACATTCCTTACATGCATAAGGTTTCTCTCCAGTATGAATTCTCTGATGTTCAATGAGCTGTGAACTAATTCTAAAAACCTTCTCACAGTGCATACATTTGTAGGGCTTCTCACCAGTATGAATTCTCTGATGTTCAGTAAGTTGTGAATGAAATCTGAAATCCTTGCCACATTGCAGACATTTGTAAGATTTCTCATCAGTATGGATTTTCTGATGTCGAGTAAGTTGTGCATGCACTCTAAAGGATTTCCCACAGAACGAGCATTCAAAATGTTTCTCACCATCATGAATTCCTTGAAGTGGAGTAACGTCTCCAACTCTTCCAAAGGTCCTTCTGTATTGCTTACATTTATAGAACTTCTCATTGTGAATTTTCTGGTGTATATTAAGGTCTTTATAAAAACAAAATGTATCCCCATATTCGATGTATTTACAAGGTTTCACACCAGTATGAATATTCAGTTGTAGCATGTTGGAGTTATCTATCCCAAAGGCTTTCCAACATTTATTACATTCATAGTTTTTTCCACCAGTATGTATTTTCTGATATTCATCAAACTTTGAGTCAAAACTGAAGACCTTCTCATATTCCTTATATTCACAGGGCTTCTCACTGTCATGAGTTCTCTGAGGTAATGTAAGAGATTCATGAGTTTTGTTACTGGGCACATTTTGAGAGATGGTTTTCATTTGACTAAAATATCCCACTTTAGGTCCCTGTACTTCAACCTTGCTTTTGCTTTGCCAGTCACTTCTGAAAATGGAATTTTCAAGGCCACATAACTTACTACTTTCCATTACCTCCCACTGAGAACCAGTGTTTTTAATAATGTCTGTTCCTACAGGTAAAAGCTTAGTCTCATACTTGGACTCCAAATCTGAAAGAAAGGAAACAATAATTTTCATGTACTACTAAAATAAAAGTTATAGAAAGAAGAAACAATCTAAGAATAATTCACCATATACATGAATTGGTTGAAATACTGTTATGAAATTTAGAAAAAGACAAAGAGAGCTCAAGAATAACAACAGAACATAGAGATTATGAGATTTGTGATAAGGGTAACAGATTAAGTCAGTGGATTTGAAATTTAAGTGTTGGTCATCACCTGTTAAAGTTGTTGGTTAAATGGAATCAAAATCTGCAAATGTAGAACTAGTCATTAGCATCTTGTAGAGATAATGCTAATGCCGATCAAAATTTGATAATCCACATAAACTAACACTACTTTGATTTTCTTCCCCCAAAATAAACTTTACCAAGGATAATAACAACGTGCAATTTGTAAGACCTCACTTTAGTTGAGTGTGTTGGTTCACACCTGTAATCCTAGCACTTTGGGAAGCCACAGTGGGTGAGTTACCTGAGCTCAGGAGTTTGAGACCAGCCTGGGCAGCACAGTGAAACCCTGCCTCTACTAAAATACAAACAATTAACCAGGCATGATGGCATGTACCTGTAATCCCAGCTACTCGGGGGGCTGAGGCACAAGAATTGCTTGAACCCAGGAGGTGGAGGTTGCAGGGAGCTGAGATCACACCACTGCACTCTAGCCTGGGCTACAGAGCAAGAGTCCATCTCAGAAAAAATAAAAACACCAAAAACCTCATTAGAACCCATTCTTTTCAACATTTTTCACCTCCTAGATCAAACAAATTTCCTATCATTTAGAGCTGCCCACAGAACATTTCATTTCTTATAGTGTCTTTGTATGCCAGCTTATTTTATTTGTTAAGTCTTAAGAAGTCTAATATACCCTCAAAAGGGGCATATTAGTTGACCCTAAGTAACTTCATTTCTGTTTCTAATCCTGTATCTAGTGCCTTACCATCATATATATTTTTTTCAGTTGTATATTCTCTTACACCATTTACTTCTTTATTCCTTAAATTCCACAAGGATAAATGAAATAAATTTTCATGTGCCAATGTATAATAAGCCATAAGGACACAATATATGATAGTTAACTAGAGGAAAAGTAAATCACTGAATAAATGAATCTAAATAAAAACAGAGGTATATATACAAAGATAAGTCACTGGAAAACAGCATCAAAATAATTACGTAACTAAAAGAATCATGCCAGTTATCAGTGCCTCTTAACCCTCACATTGTATTAGTGATGATTACATATATATTCATAATATAGTAAGACACATAAATATGGTGAGCAATCATATGTATTTTCCAACTGCTTCTCCACTTGCATATATTGTCTCCGCCACTATTGTTTATTCCCTTCTATGCAGAGCCATGATTGACATATGGGATGAAGAAATACAATCAAGATGAAATGTGTTATTTACTTCTCTTCAATAGCGTATTTATACTTACTCTGTTGTCCTCCTAAAACTTCCATTTATTCTTTTATGCTCTTTCAGATATTCCTTTCCATTTTCTTATACCCAAAGTCAACTAATGCTAGTGCTTCCCAAAAATATTATGTTTCAGATATTAGAATTATATCTGAATATAATTATAACCACTGTTAGACTTATACAGTTCTGAGCAAGGGCTTATGAGTGAAAAGGAGAATATGCTAACAGAATCATATGAAGAAGGAGGTCTAGGTAGATAAGATTGTAAGGCACTTTGTAATGAAGGATTTTATGGATATGAGAGAAGGGAATGCCTGGGGAAAACTCAGTGACAGATAAACACTGTATGATAAGAGACAAGAGTTATTTCCTGTGACTGAATATAAGAAAGATTAAATAATGCAGGCATCAATATCTGCCTAAAACATTAAAACCAGATTTGAGTGACAGTGTCACTAAGTCAAAAGTACTTTCAGCTAGAAATAAAGAAGCTTTCTGCTAGGCCAGGTGCAGTGGCTCACACCTGTAATCCCAGCACTTTGGGAGACCGAGGCAGGCGGATCACATAAGGTCAGGAGTTCCAGCACAGCCTGGCCAACATGGCAAAACCCCATCTCTACTAAAAATACAAAAAAAAAAAAGAAAATTAGCTGGGCATAGTTGTGCATACCTGTAATGCCAGGTACTTGAGAGGCTGAGGCAGGAGAATCACTCAAACCCGGGAGACAGAGATTGCAGTGAACTGAGATTGCAGCACAGCACTGCACTCCGGGCTAGGCAACAGAGTGAGACTCTGTCTTAAAAAAAAAAAAAGAAGCTCTACTAAACTGTTGGGTCAATGTGGAAATGTAACTGAAATCACAAAATCTGTAGAGAACCATGATGTTGAAAACATTTCTAATTGACATCTATGGAATGCAAATATATTTGTCTCATAAAAAGTAAGGATTTAAATGCTTATTTAAAATAAAAAAAAGAGTAAAAATAACCAATGTATATAAAAGAACAGTGACCCAAAGAAAAAGTGAGAAAAACTATCAAACAATTACAATGTGATGAAAACATATAAAAAATGTTATAGGACTCCTATGCTAATAAAGATTAAAATGTAGACTAATGAATTAATTTCTTGGTAAAGAGATATATAAAACCAACCCCAAAAGCAACAATAGTTGGAAAAAACTAAATTTCTGGAATGAGATAAAATTTTCAAACTCCATGAAACAGCAGAACCATAACCATGCCGTATTGTTCTTGTTGTTGAAGTAAACCAGATAATAAACTAGGAATCCTAGAACAAAGGCCTGAATAATGATCTGGAGCAGGGAAAGTATGATGTGTACCCTGTAATGTTTTGTCTGAAAGAAAAAAGTTTTGCAACAGTGGGTCACATCAAAGGGACATAAAAATAGCTTGAGGGAGCTAAAGGAAGCCACCATTTTGACAATACACGAATCAAATGAGGGGAAAAAAGTTTATGTACTGAAACATGCTAAACTAAACAAAACCAGAAAAATGCACTCATATCCAATTCAGTGCCAGGTCTGGGATAGGGGGGTTATAGAATGGGCCTTGGAAAAGCTTTTGACAAAAAGTGAGAATAAATTCAAAGGTTAAAGGATAAAGCCAAAGTGCACAGAAATCACCATATGAAAACAGGGTATCAGTATATCAAAATTTCATCTAATATTCATACAACTGGCATCAAAAATCAGACTCTGGTGAGCTAATGTATCCCGAACCAATAAAATCTATAAACATAATGAGACTTAATGGAAGGTAAGAAAATTTCTAGTGCACCATTTGAGGTAGCTACTTAGATACAGTAATATAAAAGACTTAATAATAATTAAAAAAAAAACAGCCTGTTTGCTTTTCCCATTAAAATTATACAAGTCTACCACAGAACATGATAGCAACTAATAAAACAAGAATGACGAATTGAAACACATCAATTCTGCTGAGGACTTCCAATTGAAGAAACATTAATTGAATCATTGAAAAGGAGCCATATATCTATAAAATGCCCAACTAAGACCAGAGAGATTCATTTCTGACTATACTATCTGAATTAACTCTTTTCCCATTGTCCTCTATCCCTTTATTCTTACACATATCACTATATATATTATCAACTTGTTTACTTGTTTATTATACATCTCAATAACTAGTATGTCAATTCCATGAGAGCAGGGTCTGTATTGGTCTTGTTCACCCTTGTACTGATACCTGTCTCTACAATGTAGACACTGAATAAATACTGAGGATATGAATGAGTTTTTTTTTTTTTTTTTTTTTTTTTTTTTTATTTGGTAGCATTTAAAACAATCTTTTTTTTCTTCCCCCAGTGCCGGTCTTTTTTTTTTTTTTTTTTTTAAACCACAGGCTTTCGAAGGGATTTTCCCAATAACGCCACAGGGGCTTATCTCCTCCTGGACCGGATGGGCTTTGTGCTTTGGCAACGACTTTCTATCCCTCACTGGCCATCACTCACCTGGCCCTGTCTTCTTTCACATCCTATAAACTCTATAGAGCAACTTCCCTTCCTCAATAAGGTGATCCCATTTGGATTAGAAATGGAACTCTCTGCTTACAACAAATAAATGTAACAATGTATTTTTTAAATTATAACCAATTTTTAAAATATAGTTTTGAGAATTGGTTAAAGTTTTAATAAAAAATCAAAATTATATTGATAAAAAAGAAATTATATTGATAGAGAAATTATATTGATGAAATTATAATGATAAAAAGAAGGGAAACGTGAGGGAATTGGAAAAACATTCACCTTAGAGTCACCACATAATTATCAAGTATAAAGAGACTAGACAGGTAAAGAAAGGTCTTATGTTATTTAAACTCATACTAAATTCTTTGTCTGGAGAAGCAGTATAAAAGTTAAAAATACTGTCTTTGGTGCCAGACTGCCTGGGTAGAAAACCTACCTCTGTAACTAAGTGGCTGTGTGGTCTTGCAGAAGTACCTACATACTCTCTGTTGTAAGCAACCTGTTCTGTACAACAATAATACAAATAGCACTTATATCACTGAGTTATTCTAAGAATTAAACGAGTCAACTTTCTTTTTTTTTTTTTTGAGATGGAGTCTCACTCCGTCGCCCAGGCTGGAGTGCAGTGGCATATTGGCTCACTGCATTTCCACCTCCCAGGTTCAAGCAATTCTTCTGCCTCAGCCTCCAAAGTAGCTGGGACTACAGGCGCACACCGCCATACCTGCTAATTTTTTGTATTTTCGTAGAAATGGGGTTTCACCAAGTTGGCCAGGCTGGACGTGAACTCCTGAGGTCAGGCAGTCCACCCGCTTCCGCCTCCCAAATTGCTGCTATTACAGGCATGAGCCACTGTGCCTAGCCACGAGTTAGTTATTTAAAGTGCTTAGGACAGGGCCAAGTAGAAGGCAAGAACTATGGCAGCTGAGAGGAAAGTAACTTTCTGAGCTATTAAAAGGTCCTTGGTGGAATACTAATATTAAATGCAAAGTTCTTTAGCCATAAAGCAGGTGGGAGGAAATGAATATGAACTGTTTATCAGTCCATCAATATATAAATTGTAGAGATTCTATATATTTTTTTTTTTTGAGATGGAGTCTTACTCTGTCACCCAGGCTGGAGTGCAATGGCGTGATCTTGGTTCACTGCAACCTCTGCCTCCCAGGTTAAAGCGATTCTCCTGCCTCAGCCTCCCTAGTAGCTGGGTTTATAAGCACCTGCCACCAAGCCTGGCTAATTTTTGTATTTTTAGTAGAGATGGGGTTTCACCATGTTGGTCAGGCTGGTCTTGAACTCTCTTTTTTTTTTTTTTTTTTTGAGACAGAGTCTGGCTCTGTCACCAGGCGCCAGGCTGGAGTGCAGTGACACGATCTCGGTTCATTGCAACCGCCTCCCAGATTGAAGCAATTCTGCCTCAGCCTCCCGAGTAGCTGGGACTACAGGCTCGTGTCACCACGCCCAGCTAATTTTTGTATTTTTTTAGTAGAGACGGGGTTTCACCATGTTGGCCAGGATTGTCTCGATCTCTTGACCTTGTGATCCGCCCGCCTTGGCCCCCCAAAGTGCTGGGATTACAGGCGTGAGCCACCGCGTCCTGCCTGGTCTTGAACTCTTGACCTTGTGATCCGTCTCAGCCTCCCAAGGTGCTGGGATTACAGGCATGAGCCCTCATGTCCAGCTCAGATTCTTTTAACAATCCTAACAAATCAGGACACACAGTATCTTAAAAATTCTCCCAGACAGTAGGTAAGAATATCAAGTATTTATAGCAATTCTGACCTCAAACACAATGTACAGGATTTACATCCCTAATCTAAAATCTGAACTGCTACAAAATCCAAAAGTTTTTGAGCAATGACATGATGCTAATAGTTAAATACACATAACTACTTAACACAAACTTTGTTTCATGCATAAAACTATTAAAAACATTGTATAAATTATCTTTAGGCCATGTGTATAAAGGGTATATGAAACATAAATGAATTTTGTGTTTCAACTTGGGTCCAATCTAAGATGTCTCATTATGTATATGCAGATATTCCAAGATCTGAAAAAAATCCCAAATCCAAAATAGTCTTGCCCAAGTGTTTTGGATAAGGGATACTCAACCTGTAATGTCTCAGTGATATGCTGTACGTGTCCTGTAAGTCAAATCCAGCTCCTTGGTATCAAAGAAGGTAGAAATTATATGAAGGGCCTGAGAAGGTAAGAATATCGTGAAGAATGCTGAAGATTAATGGAGATGTCATTTGCAGCACAACAACAGTGAAAGCATGCCTTTGAAATCAGAAGTTCACCTAGTTTCTTAAAACATAGCCTTGAGTTCACTGAATATCAGCTGATAGTCTAGACAGTATATTCTAAGTTATTTGAGGCAGATAAATTTACCCAGTGAGAGTAAGTTGCTGTAGTTCTCCATCATCACATCCCAGTACAAGTTCCTCTGAGCAGAATCTAAATATTCCCATTCCTCCTGAGAGAAGTTGATAAGCACATCCCTGAATGTCACCAATTCCTGAAACAAACCCATACATTACAGGTAAAATATAAGGAAATACTTTGGAGAAAAAAAGAAAAAAGGAATTGCCTTATAGCAAGGGGATTGGACAGTAAACAAGGAGACCAGGAACAGAGAAGCCTATAACATGGGAAGTAAGGAAATTAGTGATTCCAAACCAGACTATGGACTTCTTTAAAGACTCCCTTTGATTCACAGACATCTTTCTGCATACTTATGGGATCTCTTATTTAGCCAACCATGTTTACAAATTAACAATCAGTTTACAAATTAAAAGAAGTACTGTATACAAGTACATTTCATGCTATGTGCCTCCTTCATGAATTATCAGTAAAGGTAAGTTTCTATACCCCCATTCCCCTGTATAGGAGGAAAATATCTAACTTCTAACTTTGAAAATGAGGTATGAACAAAATTAAAGATTTATTGTAGACCCAAGTTCATTACTACTTGACATATTATTTCACATTATATAATAAGAATTATTACTTCTAGCAACAAAGTTTTTAGTGTTTTTAGTGGCTATAGAGTAGTTTCCTTGTTAAAAATATAATAGCCTTAATTATACTCCAACTTTTAGGTTAGAAAGGTCTTCTTCAATTCTGTGTCTACAATCATCATTTTGTATGACCTGACGCCATTCAACATAAAATCCAATCTCGCTGGAAACTCAAGTCTGTATAGAGGTCAGTGTATGTCCAATTATCATCAAATAGAGCCAACTGCTCTTTTTCCCTATCCAAGAATACGACAAGGAAAAGTCTAGGGATTCCACTTCTATATCTGCCCTTGAGAAAGGACTGAACACATAGGAGTGTTGAACATTATTTGGAGAATAGAGAGGCGCACAGGAGAGACACTGTGCTGTTAGACTCCAGCCCTTACTAGAAAGCGAAAAAGTATGGGGTTGTGGTGCAGGTTGTGTGATAGAGGTGTCTGGTAGGAAGAATTAGGAAAAAGGAAATACCACAAAGAAAAGAGAAATAGTAACTTACATGGTCCATGGTTAGAACTGTAAAGAACTGGTCAGGGAACTTCACCTCTGGCATGACAACATGAGGAGCTCCATGGACATGATCTCCAATGAAACTGTAAAAATTATTTTTTAAAAAAGAATCACCATTTAAAGTCTCTGGAAATGGTGCTAGAAATATGCAGCAAATGAAGAAACATTAAGAAAATCTCCAAAAGCATGTTAGAACTCTGAGAGTCTAGACTACGTAAACCAAACCTTAGCCCTCCATTGTCCCTTCCATCTAGGTGAGAAAGACTCCACTGCAGACAGGATAGCCAAGGGCACAGGGTTTCTTCACCACTTCTCAATCCTTCCCCCAGTCGGATAGCTATCTTCCTAGGTGGGGTAGGACATCATCATTTTTCACTCTGTCCCACCTATCTGTTGCACAGCTGAAGAATGATGACTCCCTTCCTCTGTCTAGCCCCAAAACATGAAATGTAGGCTTTAATTTGGATGTGGTACTGCTGAGCATACTGAGGTTCCAATTGCTGTGCCCTGGCTCTGGGGGCAAAACAGGCAAGCCAGGAAGACCTGGCTGCTGCCCCCACCTGCCATCTACCAAGCACTCAGCTCGTAAAGCAGGGGAATCACTCAGAGAGATGTATGTCATTGTCCTTGCCTCCAGCACTTGAACGGTGGCTCTGAGATTTTGTCCAGCATGAGAAGTGGGCAATAGAACAGAGAGTTCTGTATTCCTCCTCAAAGGAACTGAATTGATTTGCAAGAGAATGTGCAAATGTCAAAAACTGAAAAGTTTGGTGAAGGGTAATTGGGAGGACATTGACAGATTAGAGATGTATGTTATACTGTGGGGTTGCTAGTCTGCCAGACAGAAACAGAGAAGGAGACACCTGGAAAGAGTGTCCCTATTCTATTGTCAGAACATATCTGAAACACTGACCTGAATAAAGCCCCAGTTTGATTACATTAGCCTGTGAAGCAATCTATACTCCAGGGCACTTATGAAAGCAATACTGCCAAAAGTTGCAATTAGTGGTGCTTAACAGCTAGGGGTGGCCAGGGAGATGCTCAAAGACAGCCCTGTCAAAACCACTGTCATCTAATGGTGTCAGTAAAAATAGCGAAGACTATTCCCCCAGTGAGCAACATCAAGAGATTTTACACCATGGTGGGAACAGACTTCACTAAAATAACCGAGAGTCCATTCTCATGCTGCTATAAGGATATACCCAAGACTAGGTAATTTATAAAGGGAAGATATTTAATTGACTCACAGTTCTGCATGGCTGGGTTGGGGGCGCTCAGGAAACTTACAATCATGGCAGAAGGCACCTCTTCACAGGGTGTTAGGAGAGAGAATGAGAGTGAAGGGGGAAGCCCCTTATAAAACTACTAGATCTTGTGAGAACTCATTATTACAAGAACAGTATGGGGTAAATTGCCCCCATGATTCAGTTATCTCCACTTGGTCCTGCCCTTGACATGTGGGGATTATTACAATTCAAGGTGAGTTTTGGGTGGAGACACAGAGCCAAACCATATCACAGTCACTAAGGAAGTAAATAAGCAAGTACCAATAACAAGCTCTGAGCCAGAGGGTGTGGACAAGAGTACTGGAGTTCCAACAATTGTCTATAATGTCCACTTTCCACAAATAAGAGACAGGCAAGGAAATAGGAAAGTATGATTCACACACTGGAAAAAAGGCCCACAACAAAAACTGTGAGAGCAACCAGATTTAACAGGCAAAGACTTCAAAGTAGCCATTATATGTTCAAGTAGACAAAGGAAACCATAGTTAAAATGTAGGTATGATCATAATGTTGCATCAAAAGGAGAATATCAATAAAGATACAAATTATTTAAACATGTAAACTCTGAAGTTACAAGGTGTAATAACAAATGAAATTTTCACTAGAAGGACTCAATAGTAGATATGAACTGGCAGAAATATTAGCAAAGTTGAAGACAGATTAATAGCAATGGTGTAATCTGATGAACAGAGAAAAAACATGACAAATTAACATCTCAGAGGAATGTGAGACCACATTAAGCACACTGATATAAACAGGAGTACCAAAAGAGAGGTGAGACAGAAAAAAAGCATTTAAAATTTACAAAGACATAATGGATTTAAAATTCCAAAATTTATTGAAAAACATTAAACTGCACATCCAGGAAGCTCAACAAACACCTAGCAGGATAAATGCACGGAGACCCAAATATAGGTGCATCATGATAAAAGCACTGAAAACCAAAGAAAGAAATGGAGAAAATTTTGAAGTAAAAGGAAATTGCAGGTTAAAAGTGAAATTAATACAAAAGTATTAACTGCTGTTTTCTCATCAGAAAAACATGAAGGCCAGAAGGCAGTGGGATGATATATACAAAGTACTCACACAGAAACCTTCAACCCAGAATCCTAAATCCATCAACATGCAAAAAAATTGAAGTGACCCCCCTACCTCACACCACTTAGAAAAAACAACTCGAAATGGATTAAAGACTTAAATATAAGGCCTGAAACTATAAAATTCCTAGAGGAAAACATAGTTGGAACTCCTGACATTGGTCTTGCATGATGATTTTTTAAAATATGACACCAAAAGCACCGGAAACAGCAAAAACAAAGAAGTGGGATCAAATCAAATTAAAAAGCTTCTATAAAACAAAGGAAACAATTTAAAAAGTGAAATGACATTCTACAGAGTGGGAGAAAATATGTGCAAATTATGTATCTGACAAGGCTTCCTATCTGAATTTATAAGATTCATTCAACTCACTAGCAAAAAAACCAAAAAATTAAAAAATTAGCAAAAAACATGATAGATATTTTTCCAAAGAAGATATACAAATGGTCAACAGATACACAAAAAGGTGCTCTACATCACTAAACATCAGGGAAATGCAAATCAAAACCACAATGAAATATTATCTCATATCTGATAGGGCTGCTGTTATCAAAAAGACAAGAAAGAAAAAAATATTGACAAGGATATGGAAAAAAGGGAAGCCTTGTATACTGTTGGGGACGTAAATTGGTACAGTCCTTCTGAAAAAGAGTATGGAGGTTCCTCAAAAACATAAAAATAGGACAACCATACAATCCAGCAATCCCGCTTCTGGGTATATGGCCAAAAGAAATGAAGTCAGTCATTCCCTGTCCCCTGCCCGCACCATGAAGTCTTGCTCTTTTGCCCAGGCTGGAGTGCAGTGGTGCAATCTCAGCTCACCGCAACCTCCACCTCCAAGGTTCAAGCAATTCTCCTGTCTCAGGCTCCCAAGTAGCTGGGATTACAGGAGCATGCCCCCATGCGTAGCTAACTTTTTTATTTTTAGTAGAGACAACGTTTCAACGTGTTGACCAGGCTGCTCTCGAACCCCTGACCTCTTGATCCACCCACCTTGGCCTCCCAAAGTGCTGGGATTACAGGCATGACCCATCATGCCTGGCCGAAGTCAGTAACTAGAAGAGATATTTGTAGCCCTTGTTTATGACAGCATTATTCACAATAACCAAAATATGGAAACCTAAGTGTCCATCAATGGGTGGACAGATAAAGTGTGTATGTGTGTGTATACACTTATATATGTGTCAATTATGTATCAGTAAAACAGAGGGGAGTGGTTATCCTTATCCAGCAAACCTACATTTCAAAACTTAAAATAAAAAGACATTTCCAGATAAAAACTGAGAGAATTTATTGCTAGCTGACTGACCTTAAAAAGTACTCAAGGGGCTGGGCGCGGTGGCTCAAGCCTGTAATCCCAGCACTTTGGGAGGCCGAGGCGGGTGGATCACAAGGTCAAGAGATCAAGACCATCCTGGTCAACATGGTGAAACCCCGTCTCTACTAAAAATACAAAAAATTAGCTGGGCATGGTGGCGCGTGCCTGTAGTCCTAGCTACTCAGGAGGCTGAGGCAGGAGAATTGCCTGAACCCAGGAGGCGGAGGTTGCGGTGAGCCGAGATCGCGCCATTGCACTCCAGCCTGGGTAACAAGAGCGAAACTCCGTCTCAAAAAAAAAAAAAAAAAAAAAAAAAAAAAAAAAAAAAAAATAAAAAAAAAAAAAAAAAAAAAAAAGTACTCAAGGAAGCTCTTGAAGCTGAAAACAAGTGATATTAAGCAGTAATACAAATCCATATGCAAAACAAAGAGAAGCAAGGCAATTAGAAATTATAAAAGGCAGTATACATACATATCTCTTCTCTTAACTGATATACAAATTTTATGAAACAATATGTATATTATGTATTACTGGACCCATAATATACAGAAACGTAATATATTTGCTAATAATAACACAAAGAAGGCAGGGGAGAGCAAAGTTGTATTGGGCTAAGGAAATGAATCTGGATGGTAACTCAAATCCATCTGGACCAAATGAGAACCAAAAGTGATGAATCAGATTGATAAAATAAAAGTTATAAATGTATAAAGATTCTCCTTTCTTCTTGTTAAAAAAAAAAAGATTTATGTAACATAAAAATTACAACAATTGGTTGAGTTTGAAACATCTGTAGATGTAATGTGACAACCAATATTTATGTAAGAGAAGATGAAAGGAAATAGTTTTTTTTTTTTTTTTTTTTTGAGACGGAGTTTCGCTCTTGTTACCCAGGCTGGAGTGCAATGGCGCGATCTCAGCTCACCGCAACCTCCGCCTCCCGGGTTCAAGCAATTCTCCTGCCTCAGCCTCCTGAGTAGCTGGGATTACAGGCACGTGCCACCATGCCCAGCTAATTTTTTGTATTTTTAGTAGAGACGGGGTTTCACCATGTTGACCAGGATGGTCTCGATCTCTTGACCTCGTGATCCACCCGCCTCGGCCTCCCAAAGTGCTGGGATTACAGGCTTGAGCCACCGCGCCCGGCCCGGAAATAGTTATATAAGAGTAACACTTCTGTATCTCACTTGAATTAAGCTAATATAAATCAGAAGCTGTTTCTGATAAGATATATATATATGTGTGTGTGTTAAGCCCTAGAGCAACTGCTAAAGAAATAACCCAAAAATATAGTGAAAAAAATCATTAAAGAAATTAAATACACATTAGAAAATACTCATTTGATGCAAAAGGAAGCAGTAAAGGAACAGAGGAAGAAAAAAAGACTTGACATACACTGAAAAAAGGTGGAATGACAGATGTAAATCCAACTGTATCAATAATAACATTAAATGTGAATAGATTAAACAATCAAAAGGCAGAGAGTCAGAATGCATAAAAAACAAGATGCAGGTATATGCTCTTGCTATGATTTAAATATATCCCTTCCCAAACTCATGTATTACTAATCTGATAGTATTAGGAGGCAGGGCCTTTAGGTGGTGGTCAGATCAGAGGGCTCCTCCCCTCAGGAGTGGGATTAAGGCCCTTATAAAAAGGGCATCATGTGGCCTTTTGCCATGTGAGGATAAAGCAATCCTCCCCTACAGATGACGTGTCATCAAGGCAGCATCTTGGAAAGCAATGAGCAGCTCTCACCAGAAAACCAAACCTGCCAGTCCCTTGATTTTGGACTTCCTAACCTTCAGGCCTGTGAAAAATAAATGTCAATTCTTTATATAAATTACTCATTTGGGTATTCTGTTATAGCAGCAAACAAAAACAGAAATTGGAATCTGGATAATGGGATGTTGCTGTAATAAATACCTAAAAACGTGGACACAGTTTTGGACCTGGGTAAAGGGTAGAGAAGGGGTCAATATTGAAGTGAATGCTAAGAATAAGTCTAGATCGGGCAGGGTGCAGTGACTCACATCTGTAATCCCAGCACTTTGGGAGGCCAAGGTGGGAGGATCACATGAGGAGAGGAGTTCGAGACCAGTCCGGGCAACATTGTAAGACCCCCATCTCTACAAAAAATTATTTTAAAATTGACTAGGTATGGAGGTACACGCCTGTAGTCCTAGTTACTTGGGAGGCTGAGTGGGGGATATTGTTTGAGCCCAAAAATTTGAGTTCACAGTGGAATATGATTGCTACTGCATTCCAGCCTGGGAGACAGAGCAAGACCCTATCTCAAAGAAAGGAAAAAGCCGGCCCAGCACGGTGGCTCACACCTGTAATCCCAGCACTTTGAGAGGCCAAGGAGAGATGGGTGGATGACCTGAGGTCAGGAGTTTGAGACCAGCCTGGCCAACTGTGGCGAAATCCCATCTCTATTAAAAATATAAAAATTAGCTGGGTGTGGTGGCAGGCGCTTGTAATCCCAGCTACTTGGGAGGCTGAGGCAGGAGAATTGCCTGAACCTGGGAGGTGGAGGTTGCAGTGAGCCAAGATCGCCCCATTGCACTCTAGCCTGAGAGACAAGAGCGAAACTCCGTCTCAAAAAAAAAAAAGAAAGAAAGAAAGAAAACCTAGATTGCTATGAACAGGATAAGGGCAATTCTGCTGAGTGCTCAGGTTAAGAGAAGAGCTGTAGGGAATGCCTGCGTTTTCTTAAATATTACTTAAGTGATCCTGACAAAATGTTGGTAGAAATATGGATAGTAAATGGCAATTCTGGTGAGGTTTCATACAGAAATGAAGACTCTCTAGCTGGGCGTGGTGGTGCACACCTACAATCTCAGCTACTCAGGAAGCTGAGGCAGGAGAAATGCTTGAGCCCAGGAGGTGGAGGTTGCAGTGAGCCGAGATTATGCCAATACACTCCAGCCTGGGCAACAGAGTGAGACTCCATCTTAAAAAAAAAAAAAAGGAAAAAAAAAAAAAAAGGAATGAGGAATATCTTATTGGAAACTGGAATAAGAGGAATATCTTGGAAAATGATATTGGAAAATGAGGAATATCTTATTGTCATCTATTTCAGAATGTGACAAAAAACTTGGCTGAGCCCGGGCGCAGTAGCTCACACCTGTAATCCCAACACTTTGGGAGGCCAAGGCGAGTGGATTGCTTGAAGTCAGGAGTTTGAGACCATCCTGGCCAACATGGTGAAACCCTGTCTCTACTAAAAATACAAAAAAACTAGTTGGGCATGGTGGCATGCGCCTGTAGTCCCAGCTACTTGGGAGGCTGAGGCAGGAGAATTGCTTGAACCCGGAAGGCGGAGTTTGCAGTGAGCCAAGGTTGGGCCACTGCACTCCTGCCTGGTGCCTGGTGACAGAGTGAGACTGTCTCAAAAAAAAACAAAAAAAAAACACTTGGCTGAATTATATCCATTTCTAGAAGAAAGAACTTAAGCAGCAATAAAGTAAACTATTTGGCAGAAGAAATCTCTAAGCAGCAAAGCATTCAGGGTGCTGCTTGGCTTCTCTCTCTCTCTTTTTTTTTTAAATATATATATATTTTTTTTTATAGAGATAGGGTTTCACCATGTTGGCCAGGCTGGTCTCGAACTCCTGACTTCAAGCAATCCACTCGCCTTGGCCTCCCAAAGTGTTGGGTTACAGGTGTGAGCCACCGCGCCTGGCCTGCTTCTCTTAACTACATGGAGTAAAATGTGAGAAGAAACAATACAAAGATGGGATTTATAACAACATGGAAGTAGAACACAGAGATTTGAAAATTCTCAGCCTGAACATGTAAGTAAAAAGGTATTTAGAAAAGTAAACCAAGGGTGTGACCAAGTAACTTTTTGATAAGAGTGTGGCTAGGAGGAAGCCAGGTGCTCTTCATCATGACAATAGCAGAATGAAGTCAATGGCATTCCAGAGAGCTTCAAGGCTGCTCCTCCTACCACAGGCCTAGAGTGCTATAGCCTTGAAGGCAGGATGGTTTCAAGGAGGGGCCTAGAGCACTCATGGGACTTTAGGACTTGCTTCCTGGGGCTGCCTCAAGTCTCTGCTCCCCACATCCCAGCACAGTCCTCCTTGGCTGCCCTAGTTATGGCTCCAGTGGGTCCAGGTGCAGTTTAGTCCCTGCTCTGGCGGGCAAAAGTGGTAAACCTCAGCATCCACATGGTGCTAATTTTCCAAGTGTGCAGAGTGCACAAGCTGTGGAAGTATGGCATCCTTCAAAGAGATTCTTTTTTTTTTTTGATCTCATTCTGTCGCCTAAGCTAGAGTGCAGTGGTGCGATCTCAGCTCCACTGCAACCTCGACCTCCCAGGCTCAAGCAGTTCTTCTGCCTCAGTCTCCTGAGTAGCTGGGATTAAGGGCACGTGATACCTTGGAGAGCCTCAGGGCCCAGACAGGGCAGAGCCACTGCAGATAGTCCTCCCGAGGGCAGTGTCCAGTGTAGCCATAGAGGCTGTGCCACTCCTCAAACCTTAGACCTGTGGAGCCAGGAGCATGCAACATTGGCCTGGCGGAACCAGTGGCACCTGAATGCAACCCATGAGAGCTGCAGTATGAACTATGCACAGCAAAGTCATGGTGGCAGGGTCCCTTAGGGCCTTTGGGGTCCAACCCCCATCCCAGTGTGTCTGGAACATGCAGCAAGGAGTCAAAAGATGATTATTCTCCAGGCTTAGGGTTTATTGTTGTTTGCCCTGTTTTGGACCTACTTGGGACCAGTGACCCATACTTTCTTATTTATCTGTTTTGGAATAGAAATATCTGTTCTGTATCTGCCCCATCATTGTGTTTTGGAAACACATAACTAGTTTGGTTTCACAGGTATGTAACTAGAGAGCAATTTGCTCAGGATGAGTCAACCACATCTAATTTAGATAATATCTAGATGAGACTGTGGCCTTTGACTAAAATTTATGCTAAAATGAGTTAATAATTTGGGGGATATTGGAATGAAATGAATGTATTTTGTATGTGAGAAAGACATGAATATGGGGGGGGGGTCCAGGGGCAGAATATGTGTCCTCTCCAAAATTCATGTGTTGCCAATTTGATGGTGTTAGAAGGTAGAGCCTTTAAGACGTGATGAGGGCTTCTCCCTTTGTGAATGGGATTACAGCCTTCATAAAAGAGGCTTAACGCAGACTTCCTTGTCCTTCTCCCTTCTGCATGTGAGGACACATGTCCTTTCTGGAGAATGCTGCAAGAAGGCACCCTTGGAAGAGGACAACTGAATCTGATGATAATCTTGATCTTGGACTTCATAGCCTCCACAACTGATGCATTTCTGTTCTTTATAAATTACCTAGTCTCGCCAGGCGCGGTGGCTCAAGCCTGTAATCCCAGCACTTTGGGAGGCCGAGGCGGGTGGATCACGAGGTCAACAGATCGAGACCATCCTGGTCAACATGGTGAAACCCCGTCTCTACTAAAAATACAAAAAAATTAGCTGGGCATGGTGGTGCGTGCCTGTAATCCCAGCTACTCAGGAGGCTGAGGCAGGAGAATTGCCTGAACCCAGGAGGCGGAGGTTGCGGTGAGCCGAGATCGCGCCATTGCACTCCAGCCTGGGTAACAAGAGCAAAACTCCGTCTCAAAAAAAAAAAAATAAAATAAATAAATAAATAAATAAATTACCTAGTCTCAGTTATTTTGTTACAGCAGCACGAACAGACTAGGAAGTTGTCATGGGTGATTCCGCTGCAGAGCTGCAAGTAGATTGACAGTAAGATGATGGAAACCACAGTCAAGCCGAGA